CGTTCATCGTTCTTCCAAGATCAAGCCCCAACAGCCCTTTGGATCAACAAACGTCGACAAATCCACACATCCAACCGTTCTGCAAGATCAAGCCCAAAAGCCCTTGGAGATCCGTTCATCACTGTTCTTCAAAGATCTAGCCCAAAAGCCCCTTTGAAGATCCGCTCAAATCCACCTTCAAGATCAAGTCCACGGCCCTTGAAGAACGTTCATCCTTAGATCAAGCCCAACGGCCCTTTGGATCAATCACACATCCACAAATACACACCTTACGGAGATCGAATCAGATGATCAAAATAGAGAGAGATTGTAACCCAAAACCATCAAAAAATACAAATATTTGTTTGTGCACGTTGTTCTTGTCTCTTTCGTTTCAAGAAATTTCCGTGTTCACACATGTGTGTAGTGATTCCGGTTTTAACATAAGAATAGGTGGTTTAAACTTAGGTCACCATCGCATTCGTTATAACTTTGAATTACTTACACTAATTAAAGGTTTAATTTGAAAGACACCTTTATTGTATGCATGATTATATCGGTATGCTTGTGATAATTATAAAGAGAGTTGTAATATCATTTTCTATATATTTTTCAAATAGGGAAGGATTGTTGAATATTTAAAAAAATATATATAATATATATATATATATGGGGATGTTTGACGGGAAGTTGGGTCATTGACCCAACAATTATATCTTTTCAAATTAGCATTGTAATCTTTTGCTAATACCCAACGGTTGCTGCATGTTTTACAACATATATGATTTTTGGGTAATTGGTGTTTGTATTAGATATGTCCATTGGACATAATGATGCAATGTGTTGTATCCCATGGTGAAAAGACATACTCAAATCAAAGGATGTGTCTAAAGGGTGTAATTTCTTTACTCTCTTTTCTCTCTTCATCACATTCATACAATTTCTTTCTAGTTATTTCTAAGGGAATATAATTCGGTTTTGCTAATCGAATATTCCATACTTTGTTGTATCCTGGAAGTGATTTGCCAAGAACCCTTTAGCAAACTCATTCGAGTGGGGGCAAATAACACTTTAAGGAAACGATTCAAGTCGTACCTAAAAGTCATTATTCGGATTATTCTTCAAAATTCGTTGGCACACATGCTTCATTGGCTCAATTGAATGTATAATGCATACTTGGATACAACAATTTGAACAATTGTTAGAGATTGGCATAAGCCTCCAAACTTGAAAAAATTTGAAACCTTAAGAAAGCAGAACCTATTTTCCTTCATATTTGTGCTGTTTCAATTAGCTTATCTCGCTGTCACTTGATTATTAGTTCTAAAGGAAGTTCTAATCACTACGAAAACAGCTTAATAACAGTTGATTATCTCTAAAACAAAGAGGGAAAACTTAGAAATACTATATGTACTCAAAATCCCAAATGTGTAACACATGGTTGTAATCTACCCGATTTCAAAATTTAAAATTCCACACAAAAATGAAATTTGGAATGATTAGCAGGGAAATAAGAGAGAGAAGTGTGAGCGAGTATACCCATGAGGCCTTCAGATCCGAGTTCAGAGCTGGAAGCGGCAGAGGCCAGAGCATGGAAGAAGCGGGAAGGATTTTCCTCTGTGCTGCCTCATGCACGTGTCTTCTACTATTTATCCAAGCACTGACTGTTCAAATATTGTTCAATCTTTCAGGATCTTAGCAACATGTCTTTTGTTTCATGACTTCTCAACAAAAGATGTGGCATCAACAATATTTGTGATGTTAATTTTGAATCATGTCCCTATTTGAGAGAGAGAGAGAGAGAGAGAGAGAGAGAGAGAGAGAGAGAGAGAGAGAGCATGATTTAAGCGGGAACTATCTCAGGCAATTTTCCTATCTAGCAAATGGTTAAGATAGAAAAATCAATCTTCGATATAGAAAAGATCCTGAGCTTATAAAAACCACCAAATCAAAGTTATGCTTTTTTATGTGCTTGTTTGCAACACGGCATATTTATTGCTTTCCAGGGTATAAATGGTTATCAAGCAAAATGAAAAAGAAGTTAAAGACTTCTAACAATGGAGAGCATACCACCATCATATGTGATCCAGGGCAACACTATAAAAGCATGCTGGAATTAGAGAGATGAGACTGGCGGTTGGTGGCATATTTTGATTAGCATTACCTCCAAGATAAGTCGACCTCTCTGATCATATGGGAATCTGCAACGCATGGATTTCTCGTAGATATGTTTTGCATCATCATAGTCATTATCAAAAAGGTAAATATGATCACATGTTTCAGGACAGCATACAGAACACGCGTATATACACCCCAATTGCAAACTCTGCAATGAAAAGGACCAAAATAAAATAAAAACTTCAGTTAAACTAAAACAATTACAAAATCCAAAATTCAATTCTTTCTTTTTTGCAAACTCTGCAATGAAAATGACCAAAATAAAATAAAAACTTTAGTTAAACTAAAACAATCACAAAATGCGAAATTCAATTCTTTCTTTTTTCTTGTGTCAAAATTAATTTATAATAACAAACCTTCAAAAATGCATCAATTTCTGGATCCGGCCTTGTGTTCCTTTCCCTCTCTAACCGTACCAAATCATTCATGTATGCTACAAAATAAAACAATTGACAAAAAAAGGGAAAGTATATCATAATGCATGACCCAACTTTACGTTTTTCGAATTTTAGATTCTACATAAATTGTGTATGCATTATATTCATAATTGTTGACTTATGTGAATTTGATATTTGCCATGAATTGCATCAAATATATGTACATTTATTAAAATATTGAATTGAATATGCTTTGAATTGAATTATATTTGAATTGAAAAAAAAAAAAACGAAATCGGGAATCACAGTCTGGGTTCTTCGAACCCATGACCTTGCATCTTACACCAAACCTGAAGCTTGGATGGCCACACCGAGTTCCCAAGCCGGATCCGCGGGCTCCAGGTTAAAACCCAGAAACTCGACGCCCTTCATGGCGTCTCCACCATCGCAAGATGGCCTGCAGCCCATCCTCACACCTTGGGTCACCATGTTTGACGGCTTGAAGCTTGTCCCCGACATCGATTGAATCTCATTGGATTTTTCGAAAACCCAATTTGAAGTTCTAGGGTTTTACAAAGAATGTTGAGATTTTTTTTTTCAAATCTCTGTTCACCTTCGAGGTCTCCCACAACCTATAGGCTAACCCAGAGCACCATTGTCTGAAAGCACGGCAGCTTGAAGCAGTGGCGCCGGCTTTCTTCCCCAGCGAACACACCCAGCTACGGTTGGGGTGTCTTTTGGACCTAACCCGAGCCCTTTTGGGCTCCCTCTCTCGGCCTGTTTTTTTTTTCTCTTTGGGCTCACCTGCAGTGACCCAAAACCCTTTGGGCTCCAATTAGACAGTGTTAATCGAAACAATTAATTTTTGTCAAGAAGAATTGAAATCAAGTTCTTTCTAGAAAAAGGTACATTCTCGAAAATAAGATAAGATTTAGTGATCAGCAATCCAATCGTTCAAAAAGAAAGTAATGAACTTTTGTGAAATGTGATTAAGACTTTGAAAGGAGTTGGAGTAAATCTTTGTTGGCTGGATGATTGACCAGAATGGATTTCCCCTGTTCCAACTTAAGATGTATACTTCAATGAAAAAATAAGAGGCATTTGCAATGTAATGGCCTTTGAAATGAAGTTAAAAATTGGGATTTAGAGAAGGAAAGGGACCCATACTCTAAAGCAGAAAAAGTAAATTAAAAGATTGTGGTTCTTTGCTTTACTATACACTTGCAATGGGTTTTTTTTTCGAATTAAAGCCAATTTAATATTCATTTATTGGGACAGTGAACTGAAAATTCTTAAGCAAAATAGTTGAATAATCCTTTGCTTAGATTTTTAATTATGGTGGATTCGTTAAGCATAATTATGTTGCAACTGCAGTTAGTTTAGTTAGTTTTTATGAACATGTGACAAATTGAAATTGAAAAAGAGATGAGTATAATCTGTACTAACCACAATTGGAATGATTGCAATATAGAAATAAAGATTAGACCTTGTCATAGTTCACAGAAAACAATCACATTTTAGAGTTTTCAAAACCGATAATAGTATTATGAATTTATGATCTTCCAACTAGCAGCTAGAAGAGTATCAGAGTAATGAAATACGCAAGCTACTAATATTACTGAAGGTGACTACAGATAAATCCTCTCTAGTTTTATGCATACGTTTCACATTAAACAGCATGAAAACAACAAATCCCCAGAGTGTGCCACTGCAAGATATTTAAGAAAATGCATTTAGCTATTCGTTCTATGTGGAATTCAACTAATTTACCACTCAATCATAATAAGGGAAAACAATTAAACCGTAAAATTAAAAAACAATTAAACCTATCAAATTTTCTGTAATTCAAAAAACACAAAAAAATGGTTGGCAACAAAGATTTAGAGTTAGTTTATACCATGGAGTGCCAACTGATGGACATAAAAAGGATGCAAAGAGAAATTAGAAAACAACAAAATATTAAAAAAAATAAGGAACAAAGGTGGATCATATAAGAATCTTCTTTCTTTAATCATATTGTATTGCATTATTTCAAAAACTAAGTATCTAATTTCACACACCCCCCCCCCAAAAAAAAAAAACCCAGATCAAATATTTCACAAAAATTAACAACTCCAGAAGTTACCCTCCAAGAGATGAGTTGGTAGTTTCCATCTATTCGATTTGAAGTGGGTCTGCAAAAAAGAAAATGTCCTTTGATGACATGACCCAAGAGGAAGACAGAAAAACCCATCCCTCGATACCCTTTCAGCTAAATGGTTTCGCTGCAAAAATCACAAAATCACACACAATTTCAACTTAACACTAAAACGATTCGAAAGCTTTGGAATTTAAATCACAACTCTTACAAATTCAGCTAGATTATGACTATAATTCGTCAGTAACCCCCCTCTTGCTCATACATGAATGTCATCTTTCGGAGGCCATAGCTGCAACAAACTAACAGTACAATTTTCATTTCCCACAACCAACTGTGCGGCAGATGGACTTCTGTGTAGATGCAAGCTCGCGATCTGGGAATGATTCCTCCAGTCAGAAACTCAACCAAACATAGAGATCCACAACCTTTAATTTTGGCACAAACAAAGAATTATTAGAATTATTATAAGATATAAAACTTATATCTTTCGGTTTTGAGTCTTACTATTGAACAAATAGTACAGACCATGATATTTTCAAGTAAGGTAAGAACTAAAATGATCACTACAATTGAATCTTACGGGCTAGAAATTAGTATTTCCATCGATTGGGAGTGAATATTCCACTGGTGAAATTTGGAAATTAAACTCCCATATTCCCTCACAAAACAGGCAATCTAAACAAACCATGTTACCTTGTGAAGGGATTGAAGCTCCTCGAGTGCGGCTTCCGATTTTGGTACCTTAATTAGTACTTTTACTATCATGAAAGTAAATGAAACTGATGTTTTGATTAGATCTGGACCTCCACACTTTGAAGCATATAAGATAAACAAAAGTCCTTGATCTCAAGGCATAAAAAAAAACTTAATGTGGACTTAACCCATCTACGACAATCCTTTGATAATGAGAAATTAGAGTAACTTAGGGCGTAAGTAACCGGCTTAAATACACTCATTCTACATCTGCCATATAGAGATGGTAGTAGCACGCCTTAGCACTTATTTAGTTTTGATTGCGAGCCTCACGACCTACACTTAAGGATCGACAAATGCACATTTCAGAACTAACTATGTCCTCTTCTTGTAGCTCGACAAGCAAGCAAGAGCCCGACAGCCAACCAAAGTGCCAACTCCTTGGGGAGCTGTGTGCTCGAGCCAGAGACTATTTCCGGTGAAATTCCTGCCCGAACAAGCCCTTTAAAATTGTGGGATGGACTACCATGAGTTAGGCATCGGCAACTATGGCTACGAAGGAACAAAAAATGTAATATTTCTTTTTAATTTTCTTGAATAATAACATTTCTTTAATTTTCTGAATATGATATATTTTTTTTCTTAAAAGCCTCATACCAATGTTCTTTTTTCCTTTATTTCGATCACTCAGTAAAGTATTTAGGAATACATGGGAATGTTTTTCTTCGTACATTGTATCAGCCTTAGAATAATACACCAACATACATAATGGTCCACACTCCATACATTTTATAAACATAGCAATTGCTTTGTTTTGGTAATTATATGGAATAATTGTAAATTCAAGAAACAAATCTGATATAGAAGGATTCTTTATCCATAAATATGAAAGAAACTGAAGCAAAAAATAAATTATATGAGATTTTGCTTCTTTGCATTTATCATAATAAAAAAAAATTAACATAACAGGATTGGTGTAAAAACATATATAAAATATTTGGTAAGAAACGAATAAAGGAAAATACACAAAAGGAAATTTCTCAAATGCGGTATACTAGCAGGGATTTTGGAGTTATATTTGTGGGTTTTTTTTCTCTCTCTAATGGCCTACGGTACACCTGTCTATAACAGCACCAATTTGTAATATGTAATAAAAAAAATTAGATATTTGTAATCAATTAAGCAGTTTGGTTGTTGTGCGACTTGATACTATGGTTTAAAGTATGTGCAATGACCTTTATGTCTTAGAAAGTTCAAGAGACTACATTTTAACTAACTTGTTATTTTACGAGTTACAGAGCTATTTAAAATATGTGAGTGTTGTTACTTTGAACATTATGCCTTAGAAGATACATCAATGCACGTAATGATCCATACTTTACCACATACATTTGATAAGCATAGCAATTTTTATCGTTTTGGTAATTATATGTACAATTGCAAATTTAAGAAACCAATCTGATATACAAGGAACATTTCTGCATATAGACATAAAGATATTGAAGCTAAAAATAAAGCATAAGCGATTTTTCATCTTTGCTTTACCATATTTGAAATTCTCTAACATAATAATAAAGATTATAAAATAATATAAAACTTGATATGCTAGGAAATGAAAAATGGAAAATTCACAAAAGGAAATTGTACAAAAATGCAATACTAGGGATTTTGCAATTCTAGTCCTACATGTTTGTATTTTTCTTTGCATAGTTATAAAATTTTCTGCATAAATATGAAAGAAATTGAAGCAAAAAAATAAAGTATATAAGATTTTGCTTATTTGCATTTACGATATTGAAAATTTTCTAAGATAGTAGGATAAATGTAATATAATCTGATATGGTAGGAAATGAAAAAAATCAGGAAATAAACAAAGACAAGTTTGAAAAAATGGAATATTGCGGATTTTGAAATTCTATCTTTACCATATATAGCATCAAATTTCGATTCACGATCCTCTCATGAGCAGTTCCCTAGGGATCCTAGGGATCCCGCAATCATGTCCGTTCATCGTATATCGTGCGATCATAAATTATTTAAAATTTAAATTTTAAAATTCAAATATAAATAGTATCTAACAAAAACTGACCGCACGATATAAAATGAACGGACAAGATTACAGGATCCCTAGGAAACTGCTCAGGAGAGGATCCTGATTCTCAAATTTCAAACCCATCCTTTAAAGATTCTACAACTGGAATGCATAACGTATTGTACAAACAAATCATCTAATCGTTGATTTACCAAAGGTATAATTAGTAACAACCCAACATTTTTATTTTAATTAGAACTATGTCTTGTTTGGTCATTATACACATTCACAACCTCTTTACATACACATTTACCGAATGCTCTTGGCGTTAATTTTTATACTCACAACACTTTTGCAAATCGAGTTTACCCAACCTCTAAATTATTCTTACATTGTAGTCAAGAATAAAGTTTTTATTTTTTATTTTTGAATTTTCAATAATAATTCTGCCTGTACACAGTACACTGATACAAAAGGGAAATTTATTTGGTGAATATCATCAATCCTACTTTCAAACATCTACTTTCAAACGAAGGTAATTTTTTTTTTATCTGTTGAAATTTTATGTGTATTTTTCAGAACTAAAACAATTCTTATGTTGTTTTTATTATTTTTTAATTTTTTCGTTCCAATATTTATTTATGAATAAATAACTGCCACATTACAAACATTCTATGTAGCCTCATAAGAATTAGTAACGCACACTGTCAATTTATTTGTGCCAACAAACATAAGGAGAGGTTTTTTAGCGAGTGGTTCACCACGTGTCGCTATACAAGTGATAAAATACTTATTTTAAAAAAATTAACAATAGCATGTGGTGTTCCAGGCACAATGAAATTTTGTTTAAAAATAAGATGTTGTATACAGATTGGAAGGTATAGAACTCAAGAAAGCTAACCATTTCACATCACGAATCACATCTAGCAATCTTAATTGAAATTTTATCACTTTATCTCACGTCTAATGACAAAATTAATGTTCATAATCATTGTAAGAGCATGTTAATGATCCTTATTGACTCTAATGTGTTTTCAAATTTTGCATCACAGTTTCGTTGACATATCGCCCAGCGATGGCTGTGACATGAATAGATCGCTACATGAATTATACGAGTAAAAAAAATCAAACACCAGACATGATGCAACCATTGGTGATGGAACAAGAACAACCACCATAATGTGGTTTAAATTCGTCTTTGTTGAATCGAACCTAAAACCTCTCACTTAGAAGTGAAGATGAATACTAGTAGTGCTTAGTACTAACTGGTCCTTTCAAATTTTATTATATGTTAAACATGATTGAAATTAGTAATAATAAAAGTTCATTATTTAAGCATATTGGTGGGTATACAACAAAATGTGAGTTGCCAAAAAGACCAAGGAAGCCCAAATTCACTTAAATAAAATTAGTAAATATTTTTTTAATTAAATTTAAAGTTGGGCGCCCAATCCTGTGCACCGATGTGAACCAAACGGCTCCAATCTGGGCACCCCACAGCTATTGGATTTTCAACAGTTTGTTGATCCGGATCATTAAATTTCAAAAGATAAAAGAAATTTAAAAAGTTGATGTTGTGCTACGTGACATTTTGTGATGCATTTGATATTAAAATTTTGAAAAATTCAACGGTTAGGATTAATTCTATGGTAAAAAATTCAAAATTCAAAAAAAAAACTTACAACAAAAAAAATATATAAAAAACTTACAAAGTTCACACTTAAACAAAAATCTAAACACATATTGCTAATACCGTGGCTGAAAATCTCATCGCCTCTCCTTTCAGCCCTTCAAGGAAAACCCACATCTTGGGCGGTCTTCAACCACGTAAAGCTTCACTATTTTATTAGTTTCTGTGTTTAAATTTGTTGGGGTTTGGAGTTTTGGGTTGAAATTTGTGTTTCGGAATTTGTTGGGTGAGCGAGCGGAAATTTAGAAAATTTTAGTTGTGGATTGTGGGGAACTGACGCAGTGGAGGTCCTATTTAATGTAAGTTGCTTTCGTTTGTGTGTTTTTGGTGAAATTATGATGAGGAGGGTTGGATGGTTGGACTCGTTTTATTTGTTTTGTGAAATTAGAGTGGGATCAATCAAGGTTGAGACCTATTTAGGTAGGAGTAATTGTGAAAGTTATGTTTTTACAAAAAAATTGGCAAATTTTCTGAGTTGGTGGATTTGGAATTTTGGTTATATTAGATATATGTGTAAAGAAAATAGTTGAACTGCATGAAGCTTGATGTAATTCTGCTTTTAATCAAATGTTGGACTTGGGAAACCTAGTGAATATAGAAGCGAATCTACGATTAGTTGAGAAACTTAAAGGAGCTTGAGAGGTAATGAGGGTTTTAGGTATTTAGTGACACTCAGGCAATGCTTGATGTCCATTTGATGTCGGCGTATAGGAAATGCTTGAACAATAAAGAAAGGTGCTCGAAGAGCTACAGTAGTGAACTACTTGGTTTGATTAGATTGCTATGTTAATCAAAATGTCCCCTGTAGTATGTTATAGGCTTAAAATTTTACATTAGTGTTCTTTAGCGACTTGGTTTCAAAATTTTCGTTCGACTTTCCTTGGTCTGTGAGGCCAATGGTAGAACGATCATGGTAGAACGATCTGGTAAGAGCGGGTATGCATTTAAAGGACTTGTTTGTTTTGTCATTCTTTTAAGTTGTTTAATGTGCTCATTTCGGTATGCATCATCCAAAGTCTATAACTGCTAAAAGTAGCACTACAAGGGCGAGGGAGCTATCATCTGTTTGGAAATAAGAGCTATAGACATGCCCCATAAGGGTCAATAGGTCTCAGTTGCATATCTAACTTGTTTCATGTGTTTTCATCCTAAAGGTTAGAAAAGATGGGTGCTGTAGACGTGCAGAGAGTGGGAGTGGTTCATGAACACCAGGGATGGCGGCTGATCTCATGTATGTGGTTACATGCTGGAGTTTTCCATGTGCTTGCCAATATGCTGAGTCTTGTTTTCATTGGAATTCGGCTTGAGCAAGAATTTGGATTTGGCATGCA